CCCCTCCTTCCCCTCCTCCTCCTCCTCCTCCTCCTCCTCCTCCTCCTCCTCCTCATCCTTCTTCTCCTCCTCCTCCTCCTGCAGTTTCTTCGAAATTACGGCGACCTTCTGCGCCGAACGCCAGCCAACGAACCCTCGGGAACCCTGACGAAACGTAGGGTCTTTCTTGTCATGGTCCCCCACTGTAGGAGCGTTACAGACGGGCCTCGACCAAAACACTGTTGTTCGTTTTCGTTTTGCTTTCGTTTTCCCTCGTTTTGTCTTCGTTCCTCCTTCGCTGCAAAACGAAGTCAAGACGAAGACGGTGCAGGAAATCGCCGAAACACCGTTTAGGTCGAGCCCTGCTTACAGACAAGCTGTTGGGTTTTGGCACAAGGCCTGGCTGTGCCGCTACTCTGTGCTCATCAACCAGGCTCAGAAGCTGTTCAGGGTGACAGCTGTCATTGATGCACCTAAGTTCAATCTCTCTGCGCCGCTGGCGCCATGTTGTAAATCTGATTGGATCTGGGACTCAGTAGATGGGAATGAGTTGAAGGAGATTGGAGACAATGCCAGTTGCAAGCGACCGTCGAAAAATCTTCATACTACAAACCCCAGGCAGCGGTAGAACACATAATGTGGGATGACGATTAAGGAAAAAAGCAAGGGGGAACGATTAAACAAATAGTTTCCCACACCGGGGGGGAACGCTCAGAAGCAGGGCTCGCCTGTGTGGTCGTCACAGAAGGCCCGCCTCTGCGACGACCACACAAGCAGGGCTCCCCGTGTCGAGGCTCAAAAAAAGGCCCGCCTGCGACGACCACACAGCCAGCTCTCCCCTGTGACGAAGCGCAAGGAAAGCGCCCGCCTGTGACGACCACACAGGCAGCGCTCCCCTGTGACGAGGCGCAGGGAAAGCGCACGCCTGTGACGACCACACAGGCAGCGCTCCCCTTTGACGAGGGTAAAAGAAAGCGCCCGCTTGTGACGATCACGCAGGCAGAGCTACCCTGTGACGAAGCTCAGGGAAACTTCCACCGTGGGGGGGGCGCGCGCCCGAGGACGGCGGGGGGGGGGGACGATTAAAAAAATAGTTTCCCAGCCCGGGGCCGGTTTTTTCTAATCATCATCCCGGGCGCCGCCGCGTGAACACGACCCCCGGTCATTTTTTAATCATCATCCCCCACTACGAACAACTCTTTCCAGCGACGCAGATCCTATAAGGGCTTTGCTTCGTCTGCTGCCGCCGGTTGCGCAGTCCCAGCCTTCTGCGCATCCTAGGAAGAAAGCCCTGCAGGAGGCCCCAGTCTGTGAAACATGTCCGCAGTCGTTCCTTCTAGCAGCAAGCCTCTGCTGCACAATGTGGGGGCGAAACATCACGTCAAAATGCGCAGAACATGTGGAAACGAAGATCCGTCAACATGGAATCGGGAAATCGGAGGGAATCGGAATGAGCGTCGGATCGGATCACACGGCACGGAACCCGAACTGCATCGGATCGCCCGCGCCAGGATGCACGACGGCGCCGTGCAAACATAGGGCTGCAGCGGATCGCCAGGGCCAAACCAGCCAGAACCGATAACTACGTTCTGGAACAAACCGAGCGGATCAAAACAAACCCTGGGAATATCTCGTCGTCGCGGGCGCTGGTCTGACAACAGCCCTCAGGGGGAACGTTAGTAGGGGGGCCTGCTCAGGCGGGAAGCATCGGCCTGGAATATGCGGCACATCGCCGAGAGAGCGGTGAGAGGACTCCGATGGCAAAACCGCACGCCCCTGGGTGGGGTGGGCCAGCGGGCTCCTGTCAACGATCAATGCGCGATTAGGGTGCGATGGTTCCTCCCCTGAGCCTATCCCCATCCGCCGTGGTTCTCTGGACGTAGCTCGGGCCCCTGGCGGCCGTTCGGAGCGATCCCCGCACCCCTGGAACGCCCTCGGCGAGGCGCAGCTGCTGAAGAGCATCCCGAGGCTGGACGACCGCCGAGGACGGACGAGAATGTCCAGCAAAAACTCGAGCCACGAAGCGACGAGGATGTCCGAAAGCCGATGCCCCCGATCGAAAGCCCAAGCTGAGCCCATCTCCAGAAGGAGAAACGCCATAAACATAAACTTTTGGCGTTCCGCGCGGATTTCTTGGGTCTGCGCTGGACCCCCCTCCCTGGCGCGCGGAGCACGCCGGGGGCGGCGCCGGAGGTGCCCACAGGGGGGCCCCAGGCGTCGATCCAAGAAATCCGCGCGGAGCGCCAAAATTTTGAGTTTATGCCGTTGTCTCTTCTTCGAAAGCTGAGCCCATCTCCCCCCCGAGCTGGACAAACGCGTTCCACTACTCGCAAAGTAACTACTCGCAAATGGCCTGGATCCGCCGCGGTGGATTTGCTATACATTACATCGAAGTTACATCGAAGCAGACTTGTGTTCTTCGGACGTTTGCGACTAGGCACTTTGCGAGTACCGGAACGCGCTCGATGACGAGCGCTGCCCCCGACGCCCGCACTTGGTCGCGGAGGCGGGCCCCTGGGGGCCAGGCCCGCCGGGGCCGAGGCCAACACTTCGGCTCTCCGAGGCCCCGCGGCAGGGCGAGGCCGTGGATCTTCGAGGCCACGGCCTCCTCGACGTCTCGATCCTCGATCCTCGAGACCACGTCCTCGATCCTCGATCCTCCTCGCGACCACGTCCTCGATCTCTATCCTCCTCGAGGCCACGTCCTTGACCCTCGATCCTCGATCCTCGATCCGAGCCTCCACCTCACGTTAGGCGTTCGCCGCACGAGAGCAGGTCCTGGACCGATTCGGTTTGACCGATGATGACCTCCCCTGGGTGAAGGCTCGGGGGGAGGCTCTGACTCGTCTTGCGGCCCCCCTTTGGGGAGGAGTCGATTCAGACGCGTCTGATTATATCTGATCTTCGGCCACCCTTGCTCTAGGCCCGCCCCCAGCAACCTCCACCCCACGTCCTGCTCGACCTCACGCCGTCCATCTTGAACCCTCGATGAGTATCGCTTAACCGATCTCCATCTCCAGCGGCGTGACCTGGGCCCTACTGGCCGATCTACCCCCCCTAGATGGGGATATAGGCCGTTCCCTTCGGGCTTCGAGGGGTGTATCCCCAACTGGGGTGGCAATTTGGTGGGGGTCTCGAAGGGGATGGGGATGGGGATGGGGATCGGTTAAACGATACCGACGTCCGCAGCAGCCTCCACCTCACGTCCTGCTCGACCTGACGCCGTCCATCTCGAACCCTCGACCCCACGCCCACCCGACCGATCTCGGGGATCCTCTGATCCGGGTCAGCCAATATGCGCGGCCAATATGCGCGGCCGCCTCGCGGCCACGAGCGGCTCGCAAACCCGGGTCAGCCTGAGGGGGTCTTCGCAGGATCCTGCAGGATCTGGTGCCCTGGCTGACCCCTGGGACAAACCTCCCTTTAGTAAATCTCCCCTTAGTGAAGACGGCCTGGGACCGAAACCGACGGGCCTGGGCGCGCAAAAATGACGGCCGCGACGCCCTCTCGCGCACCGAACACTGCCACTTCGCTGATCGACGTGTCAGGGCAGGAGGTCTATCAACCTCCGACCCTATCGGGGGGGTGCGAGGGCCCGCGCCGATCGGCGAAGCAATGAACAAGGAGGAGGAGGAGGAGGAGGAGGAGGAGGAGGAGGAGGAGGAGGAGGAGAGACGCTCGCCAACCCCTGTTTGCATTGACCCCCGTCTCTTGAGCCCCGACCGATCGGCCTCGGACCCCTCTCTGGGGCCCCTCCCGCCTCCGCCTCGGGCCCTCTGACGCCCCCAGAGCGCCTCCTGGCGGTTTGTTCCGGGGCCCGGCGCGGGGCCCAGGAGCCGCACATCCGAGCAGGAGATCGGCTGCAGCATTTTGGACGCCCGAAATGGGTACGGAAAGAATGGGTACAATGCCCAACAACAAGTGTTGTCCCAAACCAGCAGCGGCCGCTGTTGGGCAGGCGGCCTTCTGTCTCGAATGGACACAGGCCGCGGCGGCGTGGACAGCGAGCCCTGTTCAAAATGAACGTGATCCGCTGTTGGGCATTGTACTCATTCTTTCTGTTCCCATTTCGCTCATGCAGAAGAATTGATCCACCCCCGAAAAACTGCACCGTCGCAACAAAATCACGGCCCGAACTCTGGACCCCATCTCCCTGCTGTATTCGTCGAGCCGCATCCATCCGTGATGGTCTCGGGGCCAGAAGCCGGGCGACAGCGCTCGGAGATCGACTACAGAATTGATGTGCCCCAAATATTGTTGTTCATATATTCGTCGGCTCGAAGAAAAAACGTAGAAATTTGGTACATCTACGGGACATTCGACATAGTTTCTCGTAGGTCCTCCAAACAAATCAACTCTTGGGTAAACCTTTGCTGCAGTCTTAATCGATCTCCTTCGAAACGCCCAGTGCGAAACCATTGCAGCGCGCCTGGATCTCAGGGCCCTGGCACTGCCCGAGCCCGCGGGCCCACTGCCACTCGCCAACGTGAGCGTTTTCTCATTCGGCGTTTCGACATGAGGCCGAGTGGGGGGGTCTGGCTCCCGACCTCCGTTTAGTGCGTCTGTTTGCAGCAATGCGTCCTATTCGGCGGTGGACAAACCTCCCTTTAGTAAACCTCCCTTTAGTGGAAACGGCCTAGGACCGAAACCGACGGACCCAGACCCGCAAAAATGACGGCGGCGACGCCCTCTCGCGAACCGAACACGGCCAGTTCGCTGATCGACGTGTCGGGGCAGGAGGTCTATCAGCCTCCGACCTGTGGGGGGGTGCGAGGGCCCGCGCCGATCGGCGAAGCAATGAACAAGAAGACGCTCGCCAACGCGCCCGTCTTCCTCCTCCCCGTGGTGCAGGCTGTGCGCGGGGCGAGCCGAGCTGGGCCGCGGCGTGCGCAGCCGCGAATATCCCGGGGTGGGCCGGAAGATGCGGGGAGGAGGAGGAGGAGGAGGAGGAGGAGGAGGAGGAGGAGGAGGAGGAGGAGGAGAGACGCTCGCCAACGCGCCAGGGGCGCGCGCGAGAAGTCCTTCAGCCCCATGGTCTGGCCCTCGGCCTGCGCAGCGGCAGGGCGACGGGCCGGCGCGGGGCGGGCGCCCCGCCGGGAGGGGGGCTCAACGTGTGCAGCGGGGGCCCGTGCCGAGAGAACCCTGGGGAGGAGGAGGAAGAGGAGGAGGAGGAAAGGGAGGAGGAGGAGGAGGAGGAGGAGGAGGAGGGAGGAGGAGG